GCAATCAGAGAACAAATTGAAAGCAAAACTGGAGATTACTCTTGATCTCAAATTCTCTCCAATTAGACAACGTAGATTAATTTTATTCCAAGTGGTAACATAACGTTTAAAAAAAAATGGTGGCAGGGGATATAGTCATATTAATAGATTTTCTTATTTAAGTTAGACTTCAAAACCACACAATTAATGTTTTGGATTCTAAATTAAGTTTCATAATAAAAGAAAATAGGCTTTAATAGGATATTTATTATTTAGTTCAAGATGCACCCTTTTCTTTCACCAAATTGCTATATTTTGCCTGAACTTCAAAGATCTTTGGGACTCAAGGAAATCTTCACTATTAAAAAAAGGACATCATTGTTTGCTAGTATATCAAACTTTAGAAGAGTATCTAAGAAATTTTCTTAAATGTGAAAATTTTACATACTTTGTTCTCAAAGTTTGTACATCTCAGATTATCAGATTATATTTTTCTTTATAAAAGTATTCATGGAATTTCACTAGCCTTAGTCCTCTTCTGTTACTTTTTTTTTTCCTTTTTGGAAAATAGTATAAAATGGCCTCACTGTAAGGGGTTATTAATAAGATATTATTCCAGAAACAAGACCCAAGGTAAATCATAGTAATAAATGAAGTACTTATTATTTAGACAACCAATATTTATTTCCAACAAATGCTCCTGGAACCTGAAAAATTAGTCCTCCACTTTGTGTTTTTCTAACAATTTAGTAATAAAATTATAGAAAATAGGGACTTCCCTGGCAGTGCAGTAGTTAAGACTCTTGTGCTTCCACTGTAGGAGATGCAGGTTTGATCCTTAGTCAGGGAACTAAGGTATCACATGCTGCATGGTGCAGTCAAGAAAAAACAAAAAACAAAAAACTTTTTTAGTATAGAAAATAAATACATGTTATTTCTAAATTCCAGAAAAATTTCTTTGCTGGAATACACATCATCCAATTCCGAATTCACATAAGATAATGCTCAATAAATGCCACTGTCTGACTGGTAGTATTAATTCTAAAGAGTTACTTCTCTTTACCTAGGCAGTTGCTTCATTTTAATGAAAGTATAGCTTTCTTTTCTCTATCCCAGAGTGTTTACATTATGTACTATTACTATTTTAAATATAATATTCATTCATTGAAAAAAAAAGTCAGGTTTTCTTGAGTATCTCTGGTTTACATCCCAGGACCTTGTGACTATAAAATAGTTTTCCATCTGGGAATCAATGCTTTCATTGAACTTTACACACACACACACACATTTGTTGTTGTTTAGTCACTAAGTCGTGTCTGACTCTTTTGCAACCCCATGGACTGTAGCCCACCAGGTCCTCTGTCCATGGGATTTCCCAAGCAAGAATACCAGATTGGGTTGCCATTTTTTTCTCCGGGGGATCTTCCCAAGCTAGGGATTGAACCCATGTGTCCTGCATTGGCAGGAAGATTCTTTACCACTGAGCCACTCGGGAAGCCACCCCCTGCCCCCTGTCCCAACACACACATACATACTTGCATGTGTATCCTGCTTTTAGTTACATGTTGGCTTTTAATTTTTTTGTGGGCCAACCAGAAATTACATAGCTTTTTGTAGTTTCATCATAGTTACATGATTTTTTTGTTCTATATTTCAAACTTATTTACATAAAGCAGAATTCTTATCATTTCTTAATAGAAATGTTATGCAATGAATTCCTTACATTTTAAAATAGAAAATGTATAAAAGAAGCTAGGGCCTTAAAAGCTTTTGGAAAACTTACTTTCAAGAGAACTGTATTATTAGTTTAAACACACACAAGTCCTTCAACAGATAAATAAAAATTTTAACTTTATAAATCTTATTTTTTGCTAAGATGTCTTTAACATCTTTAACTCTATCCTTACTAGAAATATAGCCCATTACTGATGTCTTCTAAGTTACCTTTGTCATCACTTTCATTTCATAAAATATCTTTTAAGGAGAAATAGTCTTATGGATTACTTAACATCTTAAATGTTTCCTTTAAATGTAAGAGTATCATAACAAGCAATCAAGAAATTGATGTGGGATTCCCCTGATGGTCCAGTGGTTAAGAATCCACCTTCCAATGCAGGGGACATGGGTTTAATCCCTGGTCCAGGAACTAAGAGTCTACACACCATGGGGCAACCAAGTCCAAGCGCCACAGCTAAGGCCTGACACAGCCAAATAAATAGTGGATCACAATAAACTGTGGAAAATTCTGAAAGAGATGGGAATACCAGACCACTTGACCTGCCTCTTGAGAAATCTGTATGCAGGTCAGGAAGCAACAGTTAGAACTAGACATGGAACAACAGACTGGTTCCAAATAGGAAAAGGAATATGTCAAGGCTGTATATTGTCATCCTGCTTATTTAACTTACATGCACTGTGAAGTGAAGTGAAGTGAAAAGTCGTTCAGTTGTGTCTGACTCTTTGCGACCCCATGGACTGTAGCCCACCAGGCTCCTCCATCCATGGAATTTTCTAGGCAAGGGTACTGGAGTGGGTTGCCATTTCCTTCTCCAGGGGATCTTCCCAACCCGGGGATCGAACCCGGGTCTCCCGCACTGTGGGCAGATGCTTTACCGTCTTGTACATCATGAGAAATGCTGGGCTGGAAGAAGCACAAGCTGGAATCAAGATTGCTGGGGAGAAATATCAATAACCTCAGATATGCAGATGACACCACCCTTATGGCAGAAAGTGAAGATGAACTAAAGAGCCTCTTGATGAAAGTCAAAGAGGAGCATGAAAGAGTTGGCTTAAAGCTCAACATTCAGAAAACTAAGATCATGGCATCTGGTCCCAACACTTCATGGCAAATAGATGGGGAAACAGTGGAAACAGTGGCTGACTTTATTTTTCTGGGCTCCAAAATCACTGCAGATGGTGATTGCAGCCATGAAATTAAAAGACACTTACTCTTTGGAAAGAAAGTTATGAACAACCTAGATAGCATATTAAAAAGCAGAGCCATTACTTTGCCAAGAAAGGTCTGTCTAGTCAAGGCTGTGGTTTTTACAGTAGTCATGTATGGATGATGTGCAAGTTGGCCTATAAAGAAAGCTGAGCGCTGAAGAATTGATGGTTTTGAACTGTGGTGTTGGAGAAGACTCTTGAGAGTCCCCTGGACTGTAAGGAGATCCAACCAGTCCATCCTAAAGGAGATCAGTACAGAGTGTTCATTGGAAGGACTGATGCTGAAACTGAAACTCCAATACTTTGGCCACCTGATGCAAAGAACTGACTCACTTGAAAAGACCCTGATGCTGGGAAAGATTGAAGGCGAGAGGAGAAGGGGATGACAGAGGATGAGATGGTGGGACGGCATCACCAACTCTATGGCCATGAGTCTGAGTAAGCTCCAGAAGTTGGTGATGAACAGGGAGGCCTGGCGTGCTGCAGTCCATGGGGTTGCAAAGAGTTGGATACGACTGAGTGATTGAACTGAACTGATACACACACATATATATATGAAGTTGATATGATAATATAATGTAATAGGACAAGCAGGCATACAATATTTACTTTTCCAAAAGCTGCACACACAATATCACCCATTGATCATCACTTTTAACAATCTAGTAAATCAATCCAAAATGAAGATAAGTTTTTATAAACTCACATTTGATGTAACCAGTTGATCTAACTTATTGATGGGAAACTGTCTCTAACAACTACCGAAATTACAGATTTAGTAATGAAACATTCCATTAGCTATTTTCGCCACAATAGCAGCAGCATGTTACCCTTGGTTCCTTTACTCTCTCCCACCCCTTTAAGAAGCAGGGATTTTATTATGTGGTCTTATTTCACATCCTGACCTCAGTCACTTGTATTCGGAATACATAATTTCTCCTAAAGTTTAATGATGTAGACATATCCTTGTATATTATTTTCAACTAATGACCTAAAAAGTTCTCTGAAATTTTAAATTATCAAAAGATCCTTTGGGATAAAAATATTTCTATTCTTCAAAGATTAGAGAACTGAATACAATGATTACCTTGATTTATGTCAGTCATGATATGATTGCTAAAGCTGTGATATTAAACTTTGAATTCCACCAAGACACTTTAGATTCTACCTAAACGATGTGTCAAAGAGCCACCTTCCTCTTTTTTTTTTTTTTTAAACTATTTAAAAGAATGACGTTACCATTTTCTTTTGCCAGAGAGTAGCTAAATGATGGTAAATTCTCCAGTACTCCCAGAGCTGCTTTCTGGACAAGAAAGAGTGCTAACTTGCTCTTGATTGTTCATGGCCCAATCCAAACCACCTAACACTCTGGCTCTAACTAAGAGTTTCAGAATAAACAAAAGAAAGAACTACAACTATTTAACGCAGTAGGTTCTACATTTATGGAGCCCATAAGCTGATTTCATGCTGAAAGTAAAAACAGTCTCAAGATGTTTAAACGAACTCTTCGATTCTGGAATCAAAACAAACTCAGTAAAATTAGGAATATGTTGGTAACCTCTAATCTTTTTTTAAACTGACCTCATCCTGGGCAAGTAACCATCTCCTGATGCCATTGTTGGAGACAAAATTTCTGGCTGACTCAATCTGGCTTGCTATTCTTGGTTAATCGTCCCCATTTCTCTCAACATTTCACTCTTCTGACTATGGTGGATATCATTCATTTTCAGGAAAGGCTTTTTATAAGTGATTCGGTTCCTCCAGCCGTCTCCCTCTTTATCCTAGCTAAATCCCCCAACCTCCATTCCCATCGCCTTCTTTCACTGATTTTGCTAAACATTAGACATAGCAAGCACATGACCTCCAGTCTTCCAATGTCTCGGAATAAACCGATAAAAAAAACCTTCAATTGGCGCGGCTGTAAGTTTTCCTAGAGTTGGAATTTAAGAGTCTTTAGTTCTTCAACTCTTAAAGATCTACAGGGCAAAATTTAAATTTAAAAAATTTTAAATTGAAAAAAAAACCGCTCCCCGTTTTTAACCTTTAGCCCCGCCCACTACCCCCCCGACTCCAAGCGAAACTCTGCAGGAAACCGGAGGGGGCGGGGCGGTGACGTCACGACGCCGGTGCGTCACGGAACGGCGGCGGCTGCGGCGCTGGCGGTGGCTGCGGCAGCGGCGGCATTTTAGTCGGCAGCGGCGGCGGCAGCGGGGCTGCTGCTCCTCCCAGCATCCCTGGCGCGGCCATTTCAGCCCCATCTTGGCCGAGGGGAGGGAGCTGCAGCCGCCGCTTCAGCAGTTTGAATTTCAGTTTCTCCAGGGCCTGCGAACCGGGCGCACCGAGGAAGAATCGAAGAAGCCACCGCAGCTACCTCACACAGCCGGCGCGCCGCCGCTAGCCGGCCTGCCGGCCGCCGCCCCTCACTTTCAGGAGCCGCGAGGGGAAGGCCGAGACCGCCGCCACCGCCCGCCCGCGGGGGTGGCTCCCCCTGTATAGGGGAGGACCGAGCCGGCTTTCCCCTCCCCCGGAGCAGGTTTCCGCCTGAGACAGTCGACATGTCCCTGGGGCTGAGCTCCGGCTAGAGCCGGGGAGGGAGGGCCGCCCGCCCGTGCCGAAGCTCCGCCACCCGCCCGCGGCTCCTGGCGGAATCCAGAATCCTTGGCTCCGGACTCGCCACTCCTACTCCTGCTTTCCTCGGCGTCCGAGAGCCCGGAGCTGACGCCGGCACTGGTTCGAAGAGCCGGAGCGGGGCAGCACCGCCCCTCACGCCGCCGCCGCCTCCCCTTCGCCCTCCCACTCCCACCCCCAGCCTAGGCCTGCTGACCGCGCCGAGCTGGATTGACCACGGCGGCCCGAAGACGCGAGGAGGAAGCAGCTGACCCGCCCCTGGGATCGTGCTCTCGCCGCCACTGGGGGGATTGAATTGAGGCGCCGCGACTGCGGGAGGCGAGGAGGAAGGAGGAGCCGCCGCACGAGTGAGACGGGGCCAGAGCCGAAGAGACCGACTCCGATAAGGAAACGGGAGGAGGATGTCTCACGGAGCGGCCGGCGCCCGGATCAGCCCGTGACTCTTAACAGCGGCGGGCCTCAGACCCCAGCACGGACGCGGACTTTGTCTTTGGGGGCCAGTGTTCTGCCCTTCCTGGTTTCCGGTAAGATCGCGGAGGAGCCGGCGTGCCTCTCTGCCCTCCAGCCTGCCTCACCATGTCCAAGATGCCGGCCAAGAAGAAGAGCTGCTTCCAGATCACCAGTGTCACCACGGCCCAGGTGGCCACTAGCATCACCGAGGACACCGAAAGCCTGGACGACCCGGATGAGTCACGCACAGAGGACGTTTCTTCCGAGATATTCGACGTTTCTCGGGCCACAGATTACGGCCCCGAGGAGGTCTGCGAGCGCAGCTCCTCTGAAGAGACGCTCAACAATGTTGGGGATGCGGAGACTCCCGGGACAGTCTCCCCCAACCTCCTCCTGGACGGACAGCTGGCGGCCGCGACAGCCGCTCCGGCCAACGGAGGAGGAGCCGTTTCGGCCCGGAGCGTGGCCGGGGTGCTGCCCAGCACCGTGTCGCCGGCCGCCACCTCAGTCCCCTCCTCAGGGGCCCCCGGCGCTCCCCCGGTTACGGGCCCGTCCGCCACACCAGGAACTGCCGCCTCATCACAGCCCCCCACCACTTGTAGTTCGCGATTTCGCGTGATCAAGCTGGACCACGGCAGCGGGGAGCCTTACAGACGCGGCCGATGGACGTGCATGGAATACTATGAGCGGGATTCCGATAGCAGCGTCCTGACCCGGTCCGGGGATTGCATTAGGCACAGCAATACTTTTGACCAGACTGCGGAGCGGGACAGCGGCCTGGGCGCCACCGGAGGGTCGGTGGTGGTGGTAGTGGCCTCCATGCCGGGCGCGCACGGGCCCGACTCGGGAACTGACAGCTCCCTGACTGCTGTGTCACAGCTACCCCCGTCGGAGAAAATGAGCCAACCCGCCCCGGCCCCGCCGCAGAGTTTTGGCGTTGGGCAGTCGCAGCCGCCGCCTCCGCCCGTAGGTGGGGCTGTGGCTCCAAGCTCGGCTTCGTTGCCGCTGTTCCCGGGAGCCGCGGCCGGGCCGCCGCAGAGGTTGGCAGCCCCGCCGCCCAGCCAGGCCCAGGGCGCCGGGCCCCCGGGGCCCAACGGACAGGGCCTGCCGCTGACGAATGTAACCCTGGCGCAGCCCGGCCTGGCCGTGGGCGCTGCCACCGCGCCCCCGCCCCAGCAGTTCGCGTATCCTCAGCCTCCGATGCCGCCGGGCCATCTGCTGCCCGTCCCGCCCGCAGGCCAGAGTGAGTACCTGCAGCCGCACGTGGCCGGCCTGCAGCCGCCCAGCCCTGCGCAGCCCTCTTCCGCGGGCGCAGCAGTGGGTCTCCCCGCGGGCACCGGCCAGAATGCCGCCTCTGCTGGCGCGCAGATAATGGGCGCCCCCTCCTTGCCCGGAGAAGCGGTGGCCCCTGGGCCGGGCCCCGCGCCCGCAGGACCGGCCGCGCCGGGTCAGCCGGCCGGAGTGCCCCCGGCTGCAGTGGGAGGCACGGCGCCGTCGGGCCTGGTTCCCGCTGGGGTCGGGCAGCCGCAGGCCGCGCCTCCGCCGCAGATTGGTGGCAGCGGCGCGCCGTCGGTCGTGCCCGGCGGCCCTCTCGCCGTGGTGCCCGGAGTTGCCAACGTGCCTGCAGCCGCGCCCGCTCCCAGCGTGCCTAGTGTGTCGACCACTTCTGTTACTATGCCAAATGTCCCCGCGCCCCTGGGCCAGGCGCCGCAGCTCTGCAACCAGCCTCCGGTCAGCAGGAGCGGCAGCAGCGTCCAGCACGTGGGGCTGCCCTTAGCGCCCGGCACAGCCGGTGCCCCGACCAGTCTACCGCAGTCTGACCTGAGCCAGTTTCAGACTCAGACCCAGCCTTTAGTCGGGCAAGTTGACGATACTAGAAGAAAATCAGAACCCCTACCTCAACCACCACTTTCTCTCATTGCTGAAAATAAGCCTGTTGTGAAGCCTCCTGTTGCAGATGCCCTGGCAAACCCCCTTCAGTTAACACCTATGAACAGTCTCGCCACCTCTGTATTCAGCATAGCTATTCCTGTTGATGGTGATGAAGACAGGTATGGAAATCTTATTTGAAATATTTGATGGGGATGCTTGACCAAAGTTTTAGGATGCAACTGTGGGAGAGTTTTTTGGTTTTTTTTCCCCATTTTGAGGACCTTAACATTTCTAAATATAAACGATAGTCTGTATTTAATAAAATTGATTTATCGGTTCTTGAAAAGACTTTCGTTTTAGATTACTGATGTAAAAATGATAGAATTGATGTCATAGTTGTTTAAAAGCACCAAAGTGGGTAGGAATGCAACATTGTTGATTCGAAAGGGTGGATATTAATCTTCTCGATTTGTAAGTGGTAGGTAGCTAGTAGGTTGTTCCCGTAGGATTGTCCCTTTATTAGATGTCGATCACACTTGAACACCTAATGGCATTGTGTTTTGTCAGTGTGAGTTTTGAGGCTGAGACATAAAATCAGTTAAGACTCCCATTCTGGAAAACAAGGAGGCCCTGTAATAGAGAAAGAACCATGTAAGGTATCTCCAGTGTATCTGGAAAGGGTGGAGAGAGAATGATGAAATGTCAGATGCGGCTTTGAAGATCCTGTCTTCAGCCCTTTAATAAAAGAGGACAGGTCAGGAGGCTTCCTAGTGACTTCTTTTAAGCTTTTTTTTTTTTTTTTTTTAAGGCAGAAAGTGTATTGGAAAGATATTCTTATTTTTCATCAATCTTTTTACTGTAGAAATGGGAGGTGTGAGACTCTGACAGAAGGGAAAGCTGTAGTTCTTAAAAATTAGAGTGATTTTTTAGTAAAAATATGAACGTTAACAGCTGGTTCCCTCTCTTTAGGGGGGATGCTTTTTAAACAGTTAAAGGGCAGATTGGTACATTGCCGTACCAAGTCCACTACAGTTGATGTTTGGTTATGGTTTAATAAGGATTTTAAGTGGTTTTGAGGAAATGTCACATGAAAATTTGATGTAGTATGTATAATACAAATTTTAAAAAACTGACTTATTACCAAAAATTACTTTTAAAAATCACAGAGAAAGTTTCAGGTAGTTCACAGTTAGAAATTTATTTTCTGGGGTTTTTGTTTTGAGAAAGGTTTAATTTTATACATGGTAAAGGATCAGAAGTAGCTTTATAGATTTCTGAAGTAATTGGTATCTAGAATACAATGAGACCTGTTAAAACTTTTTCTTCTTTCTTCTGAGTTCTTCACATTCTTTTTATTTTGAATTACCCTTGTATTTTTGTTACATACTTCTGTGGGTTTGAAATGTTCACTGAAATTCATCCTCTCTGCTTTTTGTAATTCAAAGTTCATCTTTTTTTATAGGAGATTTGCTTGTGGGGTGTCTTTGAGTACCCTTAGAGAATACCACATGTCCATGAGTGAGCTCAAGCTATTAACTGAAAGATTTTATGTGGATGGGGCTACCAAGTAAAGACTGATTCCACAAGCCACACAGAAAAACCCTTCTCTACATTTTCTGCCACGTTTCACTTTTCACACATAGGTGCACACCTGAAACGCCACTTGAGTTTATTTGTTCACCTTTGGTAATAGTCAGCAGGCATCTTCCCTTTTCTAGCTGCCAGAAGCCAGTTTTTTTTGATGGGTTGGTAAATAACCATTTGCTTACCTCTCTGTTCCTGTTGTACATCCCCCCACCTCATATCTTTTCAAGAAATAATGACTGGTTTCTCAGCCCCTCAGCACCCCGAAAAACACATGCACACCTGTGAATTGAATGTATTTTTCTCTCCTTCACACCTCTCAGTTTTTTTGCAGTTACATTCACCAGAACTTTAATGTGATGATATGGTATGAAGTAGAGAGAGGTGTTGATAAATGGGAACTCTGGGTTGTATTCTTTAGGACATGACCTCAAAGATGCATTTATTTCTTCTCTTTATTAAAAGAGTTGGTAATTTCAAGAATCTTATTTCCAAGTATATGACTATGTGAATTACCGATACTACTGTATCAGTGTTCTTATCAATTTTAACAATTAACCAGTGCTGGGGTTTTCCTGTGTGTATCCTCCTATTTTAAATGTGGACTTCCCTCCCCCACCCAGTCTTTTAAAATCTTCATTGCTTATCAAATGTGCATTTCTAATGTTTGCTATAGTCTTTCATTGGTTTTTAATATAACATGCCAGTTTCCAAGATGTAATCTTACACATTTGACTGTTTTGTCACTGGACCAACACACCTGGTGAAGGAATAAATCCATTAAGTAGAAATAGTTTTGGGGTCTTTTTAAATTTGTTTTTTAATGGAAAGCCTTTGTAAAAGAGAGCACATTTTAAAGATGTATGCTTGAATAACATACAGTTAAATAACAGTTTTTCCAGTGGTATGTTAAATTACTGAGATGAAAGCTGTTGAGATAGTACTAAAAAAATCACGTTAAATACATTTAATGTGATTTTAAGTTGCCTTTAATTAAACTCTTCATACAGTTTTATTTGCAGTCATTCAGATGTAAACAAAATATTGGAGTGAGTGATTATTAATAGGTTGACAAATTTCAGATCCTTAGAAAATATTTTTTTAAAAGATGTTTGCCTTTTATAAAATCGTTAAGACGTTAGTAAACAGTCTGTTTCTTTGAGAAAAGGAAGGAAAATGGAAGATAAAAAGATTCAGGTGGTTTAAGTTGATGTATTAAACACTCTTATCTTGTGATATTGGTTCTGTTACTTAATACAAGGATCTGTATTGGCTCATTTTGAGACCATTTATTTTAAAGAATCAGACCTTATGTACTATCATATCTTTAAAGGGGCTGATGGTTTTGTATGCCAAGTAAGAAAAGTCTTGAAGTTCTCAGTTAACATTGCCTGTTGACCTTATATTGTTAATTAGCATAACATTTTATATCATTCTAGCTTAATGGTCAGTTGTTGAGATTATTTAAGTTGATTTTGTGTAAACTGGAGGATATAATAGTGGTTGAAAACATGATTCATAAAAAATGCAGTGACATTTCTACAGTAAACGTTGCAAAAATTTTTTAAACTACCTATAGGCTTAACAGACTCCTATTTGGTAAAAGGGGGGAGGTGCAAAATATTACTGGCCCTTTTGGAAAAGGAACACAGCACAGATCGTTTTCCATAGATAACTGACCAGTGTGAACTCTGTAGGCCACATTCCAGGAACTAATGAATGGCTGCAATTGTGAACTGTCAACTGCAACCAAAAGACTGCTGAAAACCTGATTGTGAGGATCCTCTAGTGGCAGATATCTTTATATCTTGTTAATGGTTTTATTTGTGGAGTTTGCTAATGACTGCTGATAAAAGAGTATAAATTGTGAGTGTTAAGTGGTGTGTTTTGCTATAACCACAGATTTTGTTTGTATAGTTGTATATATAGATATGTGTATGAGATATACATATACTTTTTTTAATGAAGTTTTTTTTTTTACTTGACATTTAAGAGAGAATTACATAAATGTGTATCGGAAGGCAAAACTGTCACTCTTACCTCTGTTTTAAAAACCTGTAACTTCCCAGAGCTCTGAAAAAACTTAACTGCATTTAGTCTTTAAAAGTGAAAGCTCCTTACTTGAATCTGTATTTCTTTGGGAGCTCATGGTTCTTTATCAATATTGAATTGTGGAGATAATTTTGCCTTGTGGCTTTATAGTCGATGTTTAAATCACATGCTAGATACCATCTTATGCCTAAGTACTCTTACTAAGGATTTTGTAATCAAAGTTTGATTGATATCATATGAGTGACATTGTTTTTTTAGTGTAAAAACTGATATTGATGCATTCATTAGAGTGCTTCACTGGTATGCTTTAGTCATAAAACCTGGCTCTAAGTCAAGGAAATTATCATAGATTTCCAGAAAGGCCAATGATCAAAAAGTGCCTGAAGTCCTTAAAACCAGGAATTGTATCATCAGGAATATGACCTTTTTTATTCACGGTGACACAGTTTAAAAATTTTTGTGAACTAAGTTGTATGGACTGAACATTGGTTAACTTTTTTAGAAACTATAAGGGCTTTTATGTGTGTGGATAAGATAACATTGCCAAGTAACTAATTTTATTAATCTTTTTCTTAGAAGGGATGGAGGGTATCTTGAATTATAGTGAAAAGTTTTTCTTTTTTTTTTTGGTACTGGTAGTGGGATATTTATTCTCCCTTATGAGAATAAATGTAAGACCAGTCTGTTCTTTGGGAATTTTGATAGCACTAATTTGAAAATAATAAAACATGATGCTAGATTTATGACCTGGTACTTGGTAATTCAGTCGGTAAAGAATTTGCCTGCAGTGCAGGAGACCCAGGTTCGATCCCTGGGTTGGGAAGATCCCCTGGAGAAGGAAATGGCAACCCATTCAAGTATCCTTGCCTGGAAAATCTCATGGACAGAGGAGCCTGGTGGGCTGTAGTCCACGGGGTCGCAAAGAGTCCGGCACGACTGAGTGACTAACACATTTAGTCTTTCTCAGCACCAGAAGAAGTTGGATGGCGCTCTAGAGTCCTCTAGTAACAAAGAGCTGTCCCACCAGTCAGATGGTAAAGAAAGCAAAATGAATCTCTTCCCTGAGGAATGGTTTGATAGGGGAGTATAAAAGAATCTTGACTTTTTTTTTTCCTAAAATGGTAGAAGCTGAGGGGTTTACGGAGTAGGAAGTAATAGCAGATAACCAAGACAGAAGTAAATATAGTGAAATAATATGAAATATGGTCTCAAAAGGAATAGGAACCATACCATGTTACTAGTATGGAACAGGGGTCTAATTTCTTCTTTTAACAATTATTTTAGACCAGTATGTGTTTTCTTTTCCAGAAAGATACTGTTTATTTCTTAATTGAATTACTCTTTAAATAGAAGAGAGGCTTTACAAAAACAGGTATATCTGGTTAAATGTAGCCTGAAAAATAATGTTCTAAGGATCCTTTTATTAGTGGGAAGAGCAGATTTTTAATAAGAAATTTTAATTGTTGACAGTGTTGAAGGGATATGTGTAACAAAATTTCTGAATTGGAATAAATCCCTTAAGTTTTTTTCTTTATACTATATC